ATTTATAACATAATGAACTCAACCTCTTACCTAAAATAAACGTTCTATTTTTCAGATAACAATACTAAAAGTTTATCAGTTTTATATTGTAAATTAAATTAAAATTTTGATTAATCTAAAATTTAGATATTATTTATATGATTTATCATAAATATTTTAAATAGATAATTTTATATCATTCAATTGTAAAATTATTCTTTTAAAATAATATTTTAATTATTCCTTAAAAATAGTAATAAAATTGTTCTTTCAGAATAATTTAATAATTGTTTCTTAAGAACAATAATAAAATTATTTTTTAGAAAAATAATTTAATCATTTCTTAAAAATGATAAAAAATAATTTTATTCTTTCAGAATAATGATGTATTGTTCTTTTAGAATCATTCTGAAAAAAATGATAAAAATTAATCATTTTTTAAAACAATAATGTATTGTTTGTTCCTTAAGAATAATGAAAAAAAATATTTTTTTTGAAATGATAATGATATCATTTCAAAAAAACAATGAAAAATCATTTTATTAGAATAATGTAAAATATCATTCTAAAGAAATAATAATAAAAAATATTATTCTTACAGAATAATTTCATTATTGTTCTAATAGAATGATATAAAAATCATTTTTTCAGAATAATAATTAAAACATTCTAAAAGAATAATATCAAAAATCATTTTTCAGAATGATAATATATTATTTCTTTAAGGATGATTTCTATTATTTCTTTGAAAATAATTATTTGTTCCTTTAGAAATAATTTCTATTATCTCTTTAGAAATAATTATATAATTTCTTTTAGAATAATTATTCGTTCTTTTAGAGATGATTTCTATCATTTCTTTAGGATGATTATTCTTAGAATATTTTATAATTTTCATAAAAATCAGCTCATCAGATTTTGATCAATAAGATATAGTTGATTTGTTATCAAATCTTAAGTCTAACTGAAATTTTGCCAAATATTATAATTAAAAGATATTAATATTAAAATAATGCTAAATTATATGTGATATAATAAATTTTTGTAACTCAAGTTAAATCATATGATTAAATCAGCTAAAAGTTTACTAAAGGTATTAATGATAAAAGAAATGATTTTAACTAGTATTTATCTACTAATAAAATTCATATCAGTTAAATTTCTTTATTTATTTTTAGTATATAATCATATTAAGAGATTAAAATAAGGCTTTTCAAAACTTATATAAAGTGATTTTCATAATTATTATATCACTTTGTTTAAAATTTTTAAAATTATAATATTATTAAATCTAATAAAAAAAATTTATTAATTATTAAGTATTAGACTTTCTTTATTATTTATTAAAATTTAAATTGCATAATATTGATTTTTCAAAAAAAAATCTTAAATCACCAAAACTAAAGTTCTAAATGAGTCAAGTTAAGTGAGTTTTATCAAATTCAACTTAACTTGAAAAAATTGAGTCAAGTCAAGTCAAGTCAAAAAATTTTAAAACCTTAGCTCAACTCAACTCAAGTTATATTTAATAAATAAAAATGCGTTAGACAATTCGTTCTAATTAAACAATAAAAGATCATTCTAAAGGATTAATAATAAAATCATTCTGATAGAATAATAATGTATTATTCTAAATAAACGATAGAAGAATTATTCTAATAGAATAATAAAAATAATTATTTTAAAAAATAATAAATAATATCATTCTGATAGAATGATAATATATCATTTTAAAGGAACGATAGAAGAATCATTCTAAAGAGTCGCCAGAGCATATTTGATATAATTATATCAAATATGCTTCGGCAACTTTAGTTAAGTTATGATGGTGATGACATAATCTAATAGTAGTGACATAATCTATTGGTGATATGATCTAATGGTGGTGACATAATCTAATAATGTGATAAAATCTAACAGTGGTGACATAATCTAATAGTGATGATATGATCTAATGTTGTAATCTAGTAGTAGCGTCATAACCTAATGCCATAATCTGATATGGTGATATAATTTACAAGTGGCTTCATAATATATGGTTTGCTTATCTTTACGACTTTCTAACTTCTATTTTAATTAATTTCTGCTATATAGCGTTATAGTGGGTTAGTAGTGTCATGTTTTATTGGTGTGGTTATTATATGATCTAATGGTAGTATTATAATCTGATGGAGTATATTTTCCTGATTATCTATAACCTTTCTTTTATCAAGGAACTATCCATATGTTTATATTACTATGTATTCTTTTTATTCCTAAAAAGCTATCCATTTGTTTACCTGCTTCTGGGCTTGTTTGGTGGCCTGTTAAGATATTAAGAATGCTTCTTTTTTTTGCGCCTGCTTGATTGCCTTTTAAAATACTAAAATAGTATAAAAAAAGAGGCAACTGGTGACGCAATGTATTTGCAATTAATTTTGGCCAGCTCTATAATATAACTCTGGTTGATCTTTTACGCATGTGATTTGAGAATCCAATTTGGTGTTGTGATAGCGTTGTGATAGCGTTCTGATGGTATTATAAAACTCTCTTGAAACTGTTATGAAATTGGAGGAGAGCTAGAGAGGTTCTATTAGTTTGCCAGTTTTATGCTAGCTTGGGTGCTGAATTATTATATCCAGGCTTCTGACCAATTTTATGGAATAATGTGGTTGAAAATAAGCGAATTAATACTATATCTTACTGCGTTATAGTCATGTGATACTGTTCTGATACTAGAATACCCTCACATAGTTGCTTTCCTTTTAATTGCCATTTCTTAATTGCCTTATGAGGCATGAAGTGCTGAATTTGCAATTCATCTATTTGCTAAAGATGTGTTGCAATCTATTCACTCACTTTTTGATTGCCAGTAAGACATATGCAAAGTATTAGTGTTATATTATTCTTGCAATCCCACCTTTTATAGCCTGTTTGATTGCCGAAGATGAGGTACGAAGTGCTAAATTAATTCAGAATTTACATCTTTCATATCCTTTTTTGTGTATTCTTCTGAACCTTTTTGCCTTTTTGACCTCTTTTCTGCCTATCATCAGTAGTACGCAAAAGCAGAATTTCTTATTTTCTATATATAATTATACTTTTGGATACTACCAAATTTATACTCTAGTTTTTGCCTGAACCTTCCTAGAATTCCTTTTTATTTTTGGGTATCTCTATGTAGATTATTTTGGGTTATTATTGTATCGATTACTTTTGGGTATCTTTATGTAGATTACTTTGGATTATTATTGTATCAATTACTTTTGGATATTACCATTGACCCAGTATTTTGCCAGCAAGTGTATTTGCTTAAAATTATATAAAATTTCTATTTTAAAGATTTGGGAATTTTCTATGTAATTTTATATTAACTTTTTTCACATACCTATTATGCTACTTGCACAAAAAAAATTTGAACCTAATCTTGAAGAAATAAATGAAGCAATAAGGCTTTTTTCAGGTGTAGCAGACCTTGATTTTGAGCCAGACTATAATGATCATACAAATTTTCAACATTTATTAGCATCTAATACTAAAGATGATATTGCTCTTTTAAACGCTTATCATCATCCTAAAGAGATTTTTTCTAAATATAATTCGGATATCTAAAAAGGATTTTACAGTTATTGATCATCCATCAAAAGTTTATAGCTTACTAATTCTCATGAATGTATTGATGATAACCTGCCTTTTTATCTTGTTTTAGATATTGATACGAGGTAAAAGCCTAATCTGACGAATCCTGAACTCCCTTCCTTATATAGATATAAAATTTCTCATAATAATTTATTATCCAGAATCTTAATTGCCTGCGCTGATATTTTATATTCTGATTTAAAATATCTTATAACTTTAAATGTTTTCGCTTTAGCTAGTTCGTCTAATGATAATAAATGCAGTTAGCATATTATATATTCTGATGCCTACTTTATTGACTATAGAGACCTCAAGAGTTTTATAGAAAAAGTCACTGATAGGGTTGGAAAACCATATTTTGAATTTATTGATTTCACGCTTTACAAATCATGTTTTAGTCTTCGTCTTCTTGAATTAGTAAAGAATAATAGAGTTAAAAGACCTACAGTTTCTTTTGTAAAAAAGGGTATTGCAAACTAAAGGATTATTTAGTTCAACCTAAAGATGCTTCTGAAATCTGACTTCAAACTTTTTCTTCTAAAAGGCCAGAAAAGGAGGAGATATTTCAGCATATCGAAGTTGAAATTGCCTTAATTAAAGGAGCTAACTTAGTTATTGCAAAATATGAATGGCTTGAGATTGGTAACATTAGAAAGGATTTCGTCAACTTTCAAGTCCGATCATTAAAAGCATGTCCCATTTGCAATATTAGTCATGAAAAAGATCAGTTATATGGATTTCTTCGAAGTAATGGGTACTTTATACTTAAATGTTATTAGTAAAAATAATATAAACCAGATCATAAGGGATTACCATTTGGGAAAGCATCAGGTATAATCAAGCCAAAAGAAAGACCTAAATGTAGATTGAATGACAGATTAATTAATGTTGTAAAAAATTCACGTTTACTCCCTGAATTATCTGGAAAAAATATCAATGTAAAAGAGATAGAAAAGACTCCAGAAGCTTATCCAGACTTCTTAAGTTCTGTATGTAATATGACTCTTATTTGTTCACCTGTAGGTACTGGTAAAACAAAAGCCTTAAAAGAAATTCTCAAATCTTTAGCTGGGAATAAAGAAGGTTTACCTTGTTTTAGCTAAATTTCATATCGTAAAACTCTTAGCAATAAGACTAAAGCTAAAGTTGAAATATTACAGAGTTTGGGACTTTGCGTATGCCAATATCAAGAAGTTGAAGGTAGTTTAGCTATAAGTGATTAGGATGTTATTATCATTCAGGTTAAAAGTACACATCATATTGGACTTTACGAAAGGCGTTCATATATAGTTATTTTAGATAAAGTCAATGTGATTATGCGTCAAATGTCTAGTGGAATTCATGCACAAGAATCTGAAAATGCTTTGTGAGATTTATTAAAGTCAGCTATTCATGTTATTGCTATGGATGCTTTTACAAATGACTCTACTATAACTTTCTTAAAACAATATCGAGATAATAATATACGAATTTTCAATAATAAATATCAACCACGTATAGGTAAAACTATTAAGATTCTTTATGATCTAGATAAAGGTTCAGAGGCTATAAAAAGAGGTCTTAAGATGCTTTGAGAAGGTAAATGTGTTACTTTTGTAATAATATCATATAAAAAAGTCTGGACTTTAGCAAATCAAACTTTTACATTGCAAAAACCAGATGGTTCACCTATTTTAACTTGTATTTATTTTGGCCAAATGGACGGAATGCAATGACAAGAGGATTTCACTAATATTAATGCTACCTGGAGTTCTCTCGACTGTGTAATTTACACTAGTACTGTAGAAGCTAATATCTCCTTTGAAATTCCTAATCATTTTAATGCTATTATAGAGATTAGTAATATTAAAACAGGAGTACATGTCGAAGCTTTTACACAGATGCTTTATCGAATTTAGGATTGTCTATAATGTATAATTTCTTTATATAATAGTAAAAAGTTTTTCAAAGTATTCTAAGAGCCAAATTGTAATCTTATTTGTGCAGGATTTTCTGCTTTAAGGCCTATTGATTTACCGACAGCAGTAAAAGGATATTGAAAATGAGATAAAATTGCTGATTGTTATGCTCTTGATACATCTTCAGTTGAAACATATAATGAGGCTGAATATCAGAGTCGCTTATCAGTTAAGTATTTTCCCAAAATTCTCAGTAGTCTTGTTTCTAATACAGGAGCTTCACTTGAGGTTATTTCTGCAGAAGGTACCATAGCTAATAAAAAAATAGTTTCTAATATTATTAAGGCAGTTGAAAAAAATATCAAAGGCTCTGATGCAGAATTAATAGCCAATGCACCTGATATCACTTCGGATGATGCTGAAATTCTTAAACAAATTTCCACACGCTCATTCAATAATAATATGATATTGCAATGATATTATTTGTGGAGAATATACAGTATACTTCAGGAGATATTAAGGGTAAGGATAATCATCAGGACTGAAGCATGGATAATGCCAAATGGATTAATCTCTGTAATGCTAATTTTGTAAAAAATTTAATAATTCTGAACCTTTACGACATTTTAAAAGACTGGTATATTTCCGAAGGCAAGGTTCAGATACAATAAAAGCTTTAGAAGGGCTAAAAACTAAAGAAGTTATATAGTGAAAGGAATTGCACAATTTCTTAGATCTGTTATTAAATGATTTATGAAAGCATATTTATCTAAACAGTGGAAGGTAATACAAAAACTTTTCCAAATACTAGGCTTTATAGGCATAGATGATGAGCAAATCCTTTCTGGTAGTATGATATCAGAAGCGTTTATGCAATTATGTGAAAAGTTTATAGAAATTCAAAATCAGTCTTTATTACTGTTCGGGTTTAAGTCTTGTGCAAAAAAAACATCAGACCTTAAATCAGCTATAAAAGCAATTAATGCAATCGCTAAAAATTAGTGTGGCTATACAATTAAAAGCAATCAGAAAAGAATAGGTTTCAAGGGATAGCTGGTTTAGGAATATTCATACAAAATTAATCACCAGCCATATAACGGTACTAGTTTTAGAAATAAAGGTGCTCTAGAGCTTTCACTATATAAGCTAAAAACAGATAATGAGATTCAGAAACTCTTTGATTTTATAGGGCAGAAAAAATAGTATTTCAGTCTATTATTCAGCATTTTAGCTAGGTGTCTTGACCCATATCTGATTTTATTTTATTTTATTTACCCTTACGATAGGCATTCTTATAAATTCCACCATATGTGCTACAGATTCCAGTATCAGAATAGGTTTTTTTATCACAGACAGGGCATATTATTTTAAGAAAGGCTTTATAATGTCTGATACATCCTGAAGCATGCCAGCATCCTTTCTCACAAATCGAACCATCTTTCTTGATGTATTGATAGGATAGATGATCTATACAAGATAATTTTGATATTTATAATCTTAAAACTTAATCTTAACTTTTATTATAAATATTTAAAATTCCTTTGCTTTAGCGTCTGATTAAGGAATTTTTGCGAAATACATGGTATAGGATAGTTGGTCTAGAAATTACACGTTATCAAATATTATCAAGGTTACAGGATAATAAAAAAGATGATTTGTCTGAAGCTAATATAGATAAAATCATTAAACTATATTGTTAAGTACTCTTAGTGATGTGTGGTAATTTCAGCTAAAAAAACTCATAATATTATTTATATTTTTTTCTCATGTGATAATACCAGCTAACTTCAATTTCTATCTTCGAACTTCTGGCTTCTAATTATATAGCCTAGCATCGGAAATATCCAGAAACGATAAAAAATAGTTCCAGTTAGAAGAGGTATTACTTTTTTTTTGGCTTATCACTTCATGAATCCCATATTTTTTTCCCAACAATCCATATAATTGCAAGAAGTAGTAAAGTAAGTATGAAATATATTATCAACGGTGATATCAAAAAGCTTGTGACGATAAGAGCAGTTACTGGTAAAGATATCGTTCTGCGCCACCCACAGAATTGTCTGGAATATAGGAGAATTAAGAGTAAAAGGTTATGACAAAATATTCATAGGCAGGGTGAAGTATTTATTTCATTATGTGAAGCGTCTCTCGGCTCTTTCTTCGAAAGTAATTCTTGAAGATAAGCATTTTTCTCGAGTAAATTTGATTACGCTGAAAATAAAGAATCTATCATCTGATTTATACATGAAGTCGAAATGGATCATTTCAGATATCTGAAATGGTTGAAATGGTTGAAATCATTTTGATCATTGAAGGTTAAAGTCATGAAATAGTCGAAATAATGTCATATCACATGATTTTTCATATTAAGAAAAAACAATAAACAAAAAATGTACAATCTCGGTCAATATCGCACCGATTCGTATGAAACAACTACCATTCGATTCCTTGCGATTTGATGGATCCAATGAGCTAACATTCATTGATTTTAAATCTTCCAATCACGAGATAATCACAATTGTGTTATCGGACGAAATTATGAATCAATAAATTCTACTTTAAATAAAATAATCCGGATTTTGAAATACGATCGCAAATATCTCGAGATGGGCTGATCCAAAATCAATGAATGTTAGCTCATTAGATTCGTCTAGTCGCAGTGAATCGAATGGTAGTTGTTTCATACGAATCGGTGCGATATTGATCGAAATCGTATATTTATTATTTTTTTTTATTTTTTCTATATATAAAAAATCATGTAATTTCGACCATTTCAACTTTTCATTTTGACTTTTGGGTTTTCATTTCGACTTCATGTATAGTCTGATTGTATATGTTATTTGATGATTCTATCCTCTTTTCCATACATTCTATTTTATGTTTTTTTGAATTAAAGTCCTTATTCACTCGCTCCAATTCAAGCCTGAGAAATTCTATTGCAGATGAGTCTATTTAGACCAGCTCCTCTAGTAGTCCTCCCACTATATGCGAATCATGTTCTAATTACAGATCTAGTAACTTACCTTCCAATTCAACTACCTTAGCTTCAAGAGAAAGTATCTTAACCTTATCAGCTGACAAAGCTTTTTGCGTCAAAGTTGCCACTCTCTTTAGTGTTTTAATATTTGATTTGAGTAATTTGATTTCAGCAGAATAATTGGCTTCAAGCTCAGTACGGGATATCCGTTCATAAGTAATTTGGAATGTAAGCTTAGTATTTGCATCATTTAGCTGGTTAACCTTATTTCCAATATCAGCATGAAATCGCTAGAACTCCTTTTTTCACCCTGAATACTCTGAATTTTCAGCCTGCAACTTTTCGTTGAAGTCAATAATTTTAGAGTTAAAACTGATAGTGAATCTTAATTTTTTTTTGAGCTCTTGCTCATATGTATTACCAAGCCGATGTCCTCTATCTTTTATATCTTTCAGTATACGCACATTGAACATAATATTGCCATGATTACATAGCAAAAAAAATATACAAATAAAATTCTGAGATAATACATTCATCTTATATATTTAGAATGATATATTCTTCCCATACGTCCTGTACATCCTGTATATCCCATTTATCTGAAATATATTTTCCTTTATATTCTATATATCCTATATATTTGAAATAATACATTTTTCCTATATATCTTATATAATAAATTATTTCAGAATAATATATTAGATATAAAAAAAAATTGCTATCATGCTTAAGTGATACATAAGATGTGATACCCTTCTTTTTCACTAACTGATTACAGTTTTATTATGCAATTTGCTGAAAAAAAACCTAGAAATAAAGTTTTAAAGGATTTAACAGATAAATATTGTATATCACAAAAACATATTTATCAGATTTAGAGAGGTGAAGAAAAAAATAGGGTTATGTGAAATCAACTAATTCATATGCTAACAACTTCGCTTTCTAATATAAATGTTGTGGACGGACAAACTGAGCTAGAGATCCAAGATCAAGATGTTTCTCTATTTGCAGAATTGGAAAAACAAATACGTGATAGTAAGATAGAGCCTAGCAAATCCATTAATTCAGTTTGGAAGAAGGTAAAAGATAAAAAAGTCTGGAGGAAAAAAATCGAAGTCTGTTCAGATTTCTAAACCATCTAATATTCAGACTCAGCCAATCCAGGTTTTAAAGAAGGATAAAAATAATGAAAATTTGGATGCATCCTATGAGAAGATGGTTGAAAAAAGTACAAAGATTTTAGATGTAAAAAAGAAGTGTTATCCTGAAAATAACTTGCCTATTCCCTAAGAAGACTTTTGCAAAACTCATTGATTTCCGCATTGAACTTGAAAACATTAGAAAGCTTCTTTCAAGTTCTTTTATACAAATTACCATATCCTCATAGTTTATGCATTTTTTTTTAATGTTCCATCCTCACTTAAGTCCTGCAAGTCTTGCAAAATTCTATCTGGAGTCAAGGAATCATTACACTCAAGAGTAGTAGTCACGCAGTTTACCTTAAGCTTATTCTTGACCTTATGCATATTGATTAGAATAAAAAATTCCTTACCATTACACTCTAGTCTCAACTCCCGCTTTAATGCAAGTAAATCATAATTATATTTATCAAAAAGTGTGTTTGGCAAAATTAGCATCGGCTTTCCTAGATGATTTTTGATTACTGTGAAATCAGAATATATAATATATCCAGAAGCTAAATATATAGGCATATATCAAATGATTCTATAAGGACTGTAGCAATGCCTTTAAGGTCATATTTTTCACTCATATCAATTTTTAGTTTTAGTCGTTTGGCTATATCATCAGTCATAATTGCGAAATTAGCACCAGGATTAACCACTGCACCTGGAATCATCAAGCATTTGATTTTACATTTTACCGTTGCAATATTTGTAGCAGGATTCTTTTTTTGAACAAAGTCGATTTCTATTGGATCCTCCAAATGTTCTTTCTCCTCTAGGTCTGATAAAATGTCTTTGGTAATTGAAGCCTTATTACTCTGAAACTCCGACTTCTTCTGAATAGAAGGCACTTGTTTTGGTATATTAGTTTTATTGGAACTGAAAACAGAGTCTTGAGAAATCAATGCAGGAAAAATTAATTTAAGTTTACTTTGGAGAATTTTATGAATAGTTTCTTCTAGAGTGCTTCATTTAGCTTTACCAGATCTATTTATTGGCTTCTCAAAATCTACTTTACTAACCTGTTCAGCAGATTTAGCCAAAGGTGTTATACTATTAAACTTGTTTTTTTTCTTAGAGCATTTCTTAGATGGTGATTTCTTGGAACTAGATTTCTTAGAGCTTGACTTCCACTTTACTTTTTTTTATCTTAGTCATATTAACATTAAGCTCAGCTTTAGAATCAGAAGAATTGGAAGAACTTGAATCAGAATCAGAACTATCACTAGATGAGGTATCAGAAGAAGAATCTGAATTCGAATCTGAGGCTAAATCTAAAGTAGCGAGATTAACCTTAGCTTTTTTAGACTTCTTCTTTTTCTTTTTCTTCTTTTGAGAGCATTTGCGAGAATTATACCCAGTCTTATTACAGATAGAACATTTATGTTGTGATTTTACAGCCTTTTTAATGGCTTTAGCCAAATGTAAGTTTAATTTTTTTTTGTGAGCTCAGCAAGTTCATCATCAGAATCAACTTCAACCTTTTTCTTTAGCTTTGGTGATAAAGTAGGATTAGGAAAGGAAATAAATTCTGAGGTTTCTCCCATAATCCATAATGAAATCTGCCATTATTCTCATCTCGTAAATTTTTATGCATTCCTGCAGGTTGTGATTGAAATTGCGATGAAGTCACTTATTGAGACTGTTGAGGTTCTAAGGATGCTATTGTATTTTTACCAAGCTCTCGATTTCATTTCTAGTCATCCCTGATTTGTTAGTATCTGCATATAGATTGGTCACCAGAAAAATTGGAAAAGAAGACGATGTACTCTTTTGAGATAATATATATTTTTCTGCTTCAGTTAGAGCTTGTGTAATATTATCCTGTGTATCATAAAATTTGACCATCATTTGAAGATTATATTGATTTATCAGAGATAGATCACGAATAAATTGCTTTCTTTGCTATTTAGGAATCATTTCAGCTACTTTACTAATCTTTTTAATGTTTGCAGAGAATTGCTCAACTGTCATATTACCCTGCATGAGTTGACCAAAAACTGCCATTTGTTTTAAGTACTCAACAGTTGTATAAGAGGTTCTAAACAGGTATAAAAGTTGACTAAGCTTAATACCAGGAGCAATAGTAACAGCAGGAAAACCACCTCCTGTATTAGATGCTACTAATGCATTATCTACAGGTTCATCACCAGCTATAGACTAATCTTCATTCTATGTTCCATTTGGAATAATATCAGCACCTGTTGCGACTCCTGCTCCAATTCTACCAATTTTGGCGACTGCCTTATCTTGGAATTCTCCAGCAGTATTCAAACCACCAATTTGATTACCACTATTTCCAGCACTTATTGCTCGAACAGCAGTTAAAGTAAGTACTCCCAAATTGTCTGAGAAATTATTACATCTCCAATTTTTACCTTTGATACGAGTTAAATAAAATTCAATGCATCACCTGCAAGGCATGATACTACTAGCCCAAATGCCTCTTCTCTTCCGGGGGCCTGACCTGTACCAGATGCAACATTTATTTGACTAGCTATTATATATCTTTGCATATTCTTAAGATAATCATCTGGATCCTCTCCAGTACAACCATAAAATATTAGGAGTTTGTATCCTACCATTCCTGTTATATTTAGTGGATTATTCTGTAGATTAAAAATAATTTACCGGGAATTTCTATTTATTAGTTGAAGAGCAAACTTTTCCTGTACTAATGTATTAATATGAGCTTGCTTTCTAGCATTATTATTAATCATAGCTTCTTCTAATCTTTGAGTAATACCACGCTGTTTCTGGTGTTCCCTGCTCTTATTTTTATAATGTCTATGCCAATTCTGAGCTTGTCGAATAATACAATCATGTTGTCTTCTCCACCTTTCAGTATCATTATTATATCTTATGGTCTATCTATGTGCTGTTCTCCTATACTCAGTAATTTGACCATCTTTACATCGAACTATTAGCTGGAGGATAATTTTTTCTTGTGATAGTGTATTAATTCGATTTTGTTTTCTAGTAACCATACTTTGAGCATATGCTCGCAAATTCTGAGCCAATTCCCAATTCTTTC